TTGAGGCAGGAGAATGGCGTGAACCCGGGAGGCAGTGGAGCTTGCAGTGAGCGGAGATCGCGTCACTGCACTCCAGCCTGGGCGACAGAGCAAAACTCCGTCTCAAAAAAAAGAAAAAAAGAAGTCCATATCCTGGCTGGGCATGATGGCACATGACTGCAATTCCAGCACTTTGGGAGGCTGAGGGGGGAGGATTGCTTGAACCCAGGAGTTTGAGACCAGTCTGGGCAACATAGGGAGACCCTGTCTCTACAAAAAATTAAAAATTAGCAGCCAGGCACGGTGGCTCACACCTGTAATCCCAGCACTTTGGGAGGCTGAGGTAGGCGGATCACTTTAGGCCACGAGTTTGAGAATAGCCTGGCCAACATGGTGAAACCCCGTCTCTACTAAAAGTATAAAAATTAGCCGGGCATGGTGGCGTGTGCCTGTAATCCCAGCTACTTGGGAGGCTGAGGGATGAGAATGGCTTGAACCTGGTAGATGGAGGTTGCAGTAAGCCGAAGTCACACCACTGCACTCTAGCCTGGGCAACAGAGGAAGACCTTGTTTTTTTTTTAAAAAAAACACTGAGTGTAGTGGCATGCACTTACAGTCTCAGCTACTTGGGAGGCTGAGGGATGAGAATGGCTTGAACCTGGTAGATGGAGGTTGCAGTAAGCCGAAGTCACACCACTGCACTCTAGCCTGGGCAACAGAGGAAGACCTTGTTTTTTTTTTAAAAAAAACACTGAGTGTAGTGGCATGCACTTACAGTCTCAGCTACTTGGGAGGCTGAGGTGGGAGGATTGCTTGAGCCTGGGAGGTCGAGGCTGCAGTGAGCTGTGATCATGCTACTGCACTCTACTAGCCTGGGTGACAGAGCAAGACTGTGTCTCTAAAAAAAAAAAAAAAGGCCCTATCGTACTAGGGAGTTTAGCCTTTCTTGAGCCACATACCCCTTTAGCAATCCAGCAATACCTATGGACCCCTCCTCAAGAATATTTATTATTTATTTATGTTTTGAAACAGGGTCTCACTCCGTTGCCCAGGCTAGAGTGCACTGGTGTGATCTTGGCTCAATGCATCCTCTGCCTCCTGGGCTCAAGCGATCCTCCCACCTCAGCCTCCGGAGTAGCTGGGACCACAGGTATGTGCCACCACTCCTGGCTAATTTTTCTTTTTGGTGCAGACAGAGTTTCGCCATGCTGCCCAAGCTGGTCTCAAACTCCTGGCCTCAAGTGATCCATCTGCCTCAGCCTCTCAAATTGCTGGAATTACAGGAATTAGTCTGGCCAAGAATACTTATAAATTCATAAATACATAAGAAATTATATTGAAAGTTATCAAAATTTAAAACCAAATATGCAATATAGTAATATGTCGTTCTTTATTAATACATTAAATATTAAGATCTAGTGGTAAATCTAATTACTAGCTTAATTTCAAAATATAAATTATTTCCTTTTTTTTTTTTTGAGACGCTTACAAGTGTGCGCCACCATGCCCGGCTAATTTTTTGTATTTTTAACAGAAACAGGGTTTCACCATGTTAGCCAGAATGGTCTCAAACTCCTGACCTTAGCTGATCCTCCCGTTTCAGCCTCCCAAAGTGCTGGGATTACAGGCATGAGCCACTACGCCTGGCCAACAGATTTTCAAGGTACCAGCAATAACTGTAGTGTAGTAGGAAAATTTCTGCTAATACTATCATGAATTGTTGCCAACATTCATAATCACAGGAAACACTAAATTTCAGTTAGGGTGAGTGAAAATAAAATTATGCTTTTTTCCCCTCTTATCTCCACCCTGACCCCATCCAAACGAAAATGATTCCCCTTTAAAATTTTCAAAAGTAGAGAGAAAAAAGTTTTTTTTTTTTTTTTTTTTTTGAGACGGAGTCTTGCTCTGTAGCCCGGGCTGGAGTGCAGTGGCCGGATCTCAGCTCACTGCAAGCTCCGCCTCCCGGGTTTGCGCCATTCTCCTGCCTCAGCCTCCGGAGTAGCTGGGACTACAGGCGCCCGCCACCTCGCCCGGCTAGTTTTTTGTATTTTTAGTAGAGACGGGGTTTCACCGTGTTAGCTAGGATGGTCTCGATCTCCTGACCTCGTGATCCGCCCGTCTCGGCCTCCCAAAGTGCTGGGATTACAGGCTTGAGCCACCGCGCCCGGCCGAGAAAAAAGTTTTATGTTACAAACTGAAGGAGGGAGGTTAGATAAGAAAGGATGGAAAAGATGACCATGAGATGTATTAGCATCCTCCTTCTGAAACTGGGCTGGGTGAGATGCCTCTGGTCTTAGATGCAGGTCCAAGGCGCAAGGTAGACAGGTGGGGGCAGGGGTGGGAGCAGTTGCTCTGCTCTCTCAGGAGTCCACACGCAAGAGGGAGCTGGATCTCAGCCTGGTCATCTCAAATCCCAAGGTATCATTGTGCCAGGCATTATCCGCCACCCCCAACCTTCTCTGCTTCCCTGACTCCACATTCTCAGTTCTCAGCATGACCTCCTCTTCCCACCCTAAAATGGCTTTGAAGCTAACAGTGCATTGACTTCTGTTCTGAAGACCAGGTTCTCAGTAACTGGAAGGCACAGAGCAGCCCATCTCTGGGGCGCTTCTTGCCGCTCAGTCCCAAGACTTTCCACAAGGATGGAACCGTAGCTTTTGTCTTCTCAGTCCAGAGTCTGGGCTTCCTGAAGGAAATTCCACAAGAAAAACAAAGTGCAGTGCAGATTCTGGTCTCTAAAAACCTTCTCTAAGGGTGTGGACTGGGAGACAGGTCCAGGTCATATAGAGGAGCAAGTCTGGCTTCAGCGTTCTCTGGGAGTCTCCCTTCTGTCCCCAAGGCTATTTCTGGTCTTCAGGGGGGTAGGGTACTTATCTCCCACACACTGGGGATGTCCCAGTGGAGAGACTGATTTTGAGACCCAAAGTGAACTTGAAGCCATGTTTTGGAATGAAAATTCCCAGTGGATTTATCACACCTCTCCAAGGGTTGGCAGCTATAAGGCCTGGCTCAGGGCTTCTACCCCCTTCTACCTCTTCAGTAACCAGTTGTACCAAATCTGCACGCAGGCTGAAAAAAATCAGCACTGATAGTGGGAAGACAGACAAGAGAAATTCCTCCAGCTCCAGGTCTCCAAGCTGTCAGGCACCAGGACCCCCCACCCCCGCCGCAACTCCTGAGAGTCAAGAGCTGCACAACCTGGTGGCTTGCAAGGTGTCAGCCGCTTCTTAAAGCACCCCAAATATAAAATCTCAATAGCGGCTCCTTTTCCCCAGTACCGCAGTCCCCATGCCCCACCTAGACAGAAATAATGGAACTTGCAGCATTTTGCAATCCCGAGCTGCACAGCCCAGAACCGGGTTTCCCAACCTGTAGAGGCCGCACCCGCGTCTCCTGGGCGGGCAGTGCCAGTAATCCCCAACAAGCCCCAGGGTGTTTGGAATTAACGGGTCTGACTGTGCCCAGAGAAAGGACCTCCATCTCAGGGCCCCTCCCCATACAGGCACCTGCCCTCCAGGGCTGCGCGACCCGCCCCCAATCCCGGGTTCTGGAATCCAGCCAAACCGCGTTCCCCAAACCACTAGTTCCCTCCTTCCTGGAACCCCACAGCTTCAGTTCTGGACCCCCCACCACACGGTGGAGCGGCGGGGAGGCCCCGCCTAAGGAGGGGGAGGGGGAGGAGAAGCAAATAAACACAGGAAAACACGCAGCGGGAGGGGGAGCGCCCGAGGGTGCGCAGCAAGGAAAGCGTGAGTACAAGGGGATCTCTCTTGTCAGGGGCCTCAGGTGCGGCCCGGGGGCCAGAGCCCTGCGCCGCGCGGTGGACTCAGGCCCAGCTCTTCCCTGTGCACTCCCCAGCCCTGCAACCACCCCGAGCACCCTCCACAGCACCCACCTTCCTCGCCGCCCCCTCACCTGAAACCACCAGCGCCTCGTTGGGCCCCACCGTGTGGCAGTTGCCCATGGCGCCGGCGGCACTGAGGGCCCTCGGGACCGCACAGACCCGAAGAGCACCAGCGGGTCCGCAGCGCCGGCCGCGCCCAGCCTATCCCGCCACCCCCAGCGGCCGGCAGCCCGCTCGCCCGCGCCCCTCTGTGGTCGCAGCCCCGCCGGAAGTGTGGCGGCGGAGGGCGGGGCCGGCGCGTTGAGGCAGGAGCGAGCGTAGCCTCGGCGGTCAACGCGCTTTTATTCCAAGGGGCTCCAGATACAGATCACCCCAGCCCTGCATCCGCCCGGAAGGCGTCCCCCTACTCCCATGGGGCACCTCGATACCAACTGCCCTGCCCTGACTCACTTCTTAGCACCCATCTTACGGCAGTCGGCCCTGGCCTCAGACCCCTGGGTTCAAATCTCAGGCCCTCCTCCTACTCAGGGTGAGACCTTGGGCAAGTCCCTTAGCTCGGGAGCCTTATTCAACCTCATTAACATGGGGGTAACTACCTAGCTAGACCGTTGCAAAGGGCTCAATTCACTAATTCTCAATGTTGGCAGTGCATCACATTGCAAACTCCCTGCCTCTGCTCCAGAGCTGATCAGAATCAATGAGGGTGGGGCCTGAAAATACTAAATCCAAATTTCCGAGAAGCACAGGGTCTAGCATATTACCCCCTATCTCTCCATCTGGGGTTACTGTCACTCTCAGGAAGAAATAATCACCCATTATTTCTTCAACCAGGAAAAGAGATGTCCAGGGCACAGCTTGGGGCCCCAGAAAGTAACCATGGAGGTCAAGATCATAAACCCATCAGTGTCCAGGGCATGGCCTGGCACACATCCGAGGTTTTTTTTTTTTTTTTTTTTTTTTTTTTTGAGGCAGAGTCTCGCTCTGTCGCCCAGGCTGGAGTGCAGTGGCGCGATCTCGGCTCACTGCAAGCTCCGCCTCCCGGGTTCCCGCCATTCTCCTGCCTCAGCCTCCCAAGTAGCTGGGACTACAGGCGCCGCCACCACGCCCGGCTAATTTTTTTGTATTTTTAGTAGAGACGGGGTTTCATTGTGTTAGCCAGGATGGTCTCGATCTCCTGACCTCGTGATCCGCCCGTCTCGGCCTCCCAAAGTGCTGGGATTACAGGCTTGAGCCACCGCGCCCGGCCACATCCGAGGTTTTCAAGGGCCATGAAGTGCCATGGAAAGCATCCTGGCCTGAGGGTTAGGAGAGCTGGGTCTCAGGCTCAACTTTAGCCTGAATTCGGTGAGTCATCTTAGACAAATCTGGTGAGCTCTGAGGGCTGGGGTAAGGTTGAGAAACTGTGGGCTCCTCAGGGTGGGTGGTGCTCAGAGAAGATGGGGGCCCTGAGTCCTCAGACTGGGAGTCTTCATCGGGTTCAGCATCCTCCCCAGGCCCAAGCCCCGCCAGCCTCTTGCTGGCCTCCCATAGCCGATGGGCTGCCCGGTCATCTCGGGCAGCTGGAGGCACCTCTTCCACATGGCAGTTGGCAAAATATCTCCCACTGAGGGGCTCGATGCCCTCTTGTAGAGCACAATACAGGGGTGTCTGGGCACCCCCTCTTGGTGCCCGGAGCACCAGCCAAGCCAATGGGCGCAAAAGTGGGCGCAGCCATCCAGGAACATGGCGCAGGAACAGCTCCGAGTTCACAGGCCCTGTAGGCAGGAAGAAAGAAAGGAGTTGGGCTAGGCGCAGTGGTGTGCATTTATAGTCACAGCTACTCTGGAGGTGGAGCAGGAGGATCGCTTGAGCCCAGGAGTTTGAGACCAGCCTGGGCAACATAGTGAAGCTCTGTCTCTTTAAAAAAAAAAAAAAAAAAAGAACAGAGCTAGAAGAATAGGGACAGAATCTGGTTTCAAGGGAACCAGGATAGTATTTACCAGGCATTTGGGACTTCTGCGAGGTGACTTCACTCATTTCCTGCATCTGAAACAATTCTCAGTCTCTCTCCATCTTTTCTTCTAGCTCAAGTCCTGTTCCTTGTTTAACCAACATTTATTAAGTACTTGCAGTACACCAGCCACTATTTTGGACATTAGGGATATGGAGTGTAATAGAGGCTTAATAAAGGCTAATTGTGATCATCGCTATTATAATTACTAATGAGCTTTAGGCAGTGACTATCTAAAATGCAGTATGGTAATATGAATACGGCAGATCTTGTTATCCTGGTATAACCTCTTGCATAAGACAAAGTGTGCCTCTGGATCCCCAATTATCTCACTCAGAGTAAAAGTCAGAATGCTTATAGTGAACCTCCCTCCAAACCCTACAGGACCCAGTGCCTCTCTGTGACCTCACCTCTTGCCACTCTCCCCCTTCACTCTGTTCCAGCCACATTAGCCTTTCTCAAGCACACCAGGCCTTAGGGCCTCTGCACTTACTTTTTTCTGTTTTGGAGACAGAGTCTCGCTCTGTCACCCAGGCTGGAGTACAGTGGCGAGATCTCAGCTTACTGCAACATCCACCTCCAGGTTCAGGCGATTCTCCTGCCTCAGCCTCCTGAATAGCTGGGACTACAGGTGCCAGACACCATGTCTAGCTAATTTTTGTATTTGTAGTAGAGACAGGGTTTTCTTTTTTCTTTTTTTTCTTTTTTTGAGACGGAGTCTTGCTCTGTCCCCCAGGCTGGAGTGCAGTGGCGGTATCACAGCTCACTGCAACCTCCACTTCCTGGATTAAAGTGATTCTCCTGCCTCAGCCTCCTGAGTAGCTGGGACTACAGGCACACGCTACCACGCCTGGCTAATTTTTGTATTTTTAGTAGAGACATGGTTTCACCATGTTGGTCAGGCTGGTCTTGAACTCCTGACCTTGTGATCCCCTGCCTCAGCCTCCCAAAATGCTGGGATTACAGGCGTGAGCCACCACACCTGGCCTAGAGATGCGGTTTCACCATATTGCCCAGGTTGGTCTCAAACTCCTGACCTCAAGTGATCCACCAGCCTCGGCCTCCCAAAGTGCTGGGATTATAGGCATGAGCCACCGCTTCCGGCCCCTTTGCACTTATTATTTGCACTGTTCTCTCTTTTTCTGGGCATCTCCCCAGTGAGCCATGTATCTTTCTGGCTTCTGTTCAAATGTCACCTTTATAGATATGTCTTCCTTGACTGCCACACCATATTCCCATTCCATTAGCCCCTCGCCCTGTTTCCTCTTTCCTCAGAGAACTCTTATCACCACCCCTCATTGTATATATTTATTGGCTCTCTCCGTCTCCTCCAAACTAGAATGCAAACTCTGAGGGCAGGGTCTTAGTTTTGTTCACTGCTATATCCCCAGCACTGCAAATAATGCCTCATACAGAGTAGGTACTCGGTAAATGCTTCTTAGATGAATGAAAAATTATTAGCTATCATCATCATCATTATCAGTTCAGTCAGTGCAGATGGCTCCTGGGGGTGGGAATCCAGGTCTTATTCATGGCCATACACCCCCCAGGGCTCAGCACCCAGGCTTGTGCTGTGAGAGGAAGAACCTAAACCAGGAGAGCCTGGTTCCAAGATCAGCAAGGAACAGGTCTCTCCTTGGACTATGCTTCCTTCCTGCTCTGAGATTCTGTGACTCAATGAGGGATTGGGGGTGGGGAGGTGGTAGTGGTGTGAGGGGCACAGGATGGGGCATGGAAAGGAGAGGGGAATCGGAAGCCGAAGAACCAGACCTCACCTGGGTGCGCTGCATAGCAGGTGATGCCAGTGCCCTCAAGCTGGTTGGCAAGCTCCCGGGCAAACAGTACATTAGCCAGCTTAGTGTCAGCATATGCCCGCAGCTCCTGCCGCCAGCCCACCACTGGGCGGTCCAGGCGTTTGAAGTCGAGACGTCCCCGACAGTGGGCAGCTGAGGCTACCACCACCACGCGGCTAGGGGCACATGCCTTCAGGCAAGGCAGCAGCAGATGTGTCAGCAGAAAGGGACCGATGTGGTTCACCCGAAGCAGCAGGTTAAACGCCTCGCGGGTCCGGCCACAGGAACTGATCCCTGGGGCAGAGGCTAGATGTAAGTGGCTGCTCCAGAAGGAGCTCTGCAGCCTTGGCATCCCTATCTATGAGATGGGAGTAGGGGGCATCCTTCCCATGTGTCCACTGGCCCCAGCAGGGCTTCCGCTGGAGGGGGCAGCTGCCCCTGGCCACCCGCCACCCCCCACCCCACAGGGCCTGCTGCCCCTCACCGGCATTGTGGATGAGGATGTCCAACCGTGGCTCAGAGCTCAGGAAGGCAGTGGCAAAGGCCCGCACCGAGGCCAGATTGGCCAAGTCCAAGGCCATGAAGATGACCTCATTGTTCCCACTCTCCTGTGGAGCGGCAAGGGCTGGGCTTGTCACCAGGCATCTTTCTCCTCTTCCCTCTCTCCCCAGGAACCAAATTCTGAGAGTTCATCTCCTACTGTTTAATATAATCTGCCCCTACGTCTTAGAGTTTACTAGATAAGTGTGTGGATTCAAATCCTGACTTTGCCTTTTACTAGAGTGTGACCTTGGGCAAGATACTTAATCTCTTTGGGCCTCAGTTCTCTCACTGCATAAAGGGAATAATAATAACAGTACCAATCTCACCCAGCTGTTGTGAGAATGAAAAGAGTTAACATGTGTAAAATACACTCCAGCAGCACTGGGTAGGTACTTGCTATTATTATCACCTCCTTTCCCCATTACCATTTACCCCAAAATCTGTAAGACTTCTCACTGGTCTCCTCTCGCCCGCTCTTGCCCCTCCACTCCAAGCACCACGCAGCCACAAAGGGGTTCCTTCCAAAGGCTATTCTGACAGTCCGGAGCCTACTGAGGGCCGTTTATGGTCTCCAGTGGTCTGTGCTGCCCAATCTATAAAATCCAAGCTTCTCAATAGGCTCTAGAAGGTCCTCTAGCCCCCTCATTTGCCCATCTTCCTCATACTTTGTGCTTCAGCCTCATTAAATCTTTTTCTCAGTTTTTCAGATCAGTCCAGCTCTCTTGCTTACTGAGGGCCTTTGCTTATGCTGTGCCCTCTGCTGTTCCCTTTCCTACTAATCATTAACCCAACTTCTACTGATGCTTAAACGTCTCAGAACTGCAATTAGGGCCTTCAGGAAGCCCCTCCCCCACTCGGCTCTGGTGCGCCTTCCTCGGGTGACCCCGGCGCTCCGTGCACTCCCTCTTCGCGCTCAGCCGCCCGCGCCGCACTCTCCTCCCTGGACCCGGATCCTCCGCAGCCCCTTTGCTGGCTTCTCTGTGTCCCGGCGGGTTCTCGGCTCACGGTCCCACGCGCCCCCGCTGCCTCTCACCTGGCGGAGGTCGAAGGCAGCCGCCTCCCCGCGCTCCCGGCTGCGGCAGGCCAGCACCACGCGCGCTCCCCGGCGCGCCAGCTCCAGCGCCGTCATCTTCCCGATGCCGCTGTTAGCGCCTGCGGACCGCAGGCGCGAGCCGAGCTGAGCTGAGCCTGGCGGGCTGCTGCTACCGCCGGCCCGGCCTCCCCTCCGCGCGCCCCGCCAGCTCGCACTCACCCGCCTCCGCACTCACCAGTGACCACGGCCGTGCGGCCCCGCAGGTTGCCGATGCCGCCGCACGGCGGGGCCTTCACCAGGTTGTAGTAGACAAGCACGTAAGCGCCCAGCAGCAACCCCGTGCCCAGCAGCAGCGCCTCCATGCCGGCCGCGCCTCCCGGCTCCCGCCCAGGCCCCGCGCCGGCCTGGATCGCCGCCAGGCGGCTGCCGATCCGCCCCGCACAGACCTGGAACGGCGCCGGGGCGCGTCAGCCTCCGAAGGCGGAGGCTGGTAGGAGGCTGGGCAGGGGTGTGTGTGCGTGCGGGTGCTCGCCGGCCCTGCGAGCGCCCCCTAGGCGTGCGTCGGTGTCCTGGGGGCGTGTGCCTCCGTGGACACCTTTGAGGTGCGTGTGTGCACTTGGGCCCTGGGAGCGCCCCCTAGGTGTGTGCCTGTGTGAACACCTGGGTGTCAGTGTCCACGGACACCCTGGGAGTGCATGCTAGGTATGTGCATGCATCTACAACGCTTGTATGTGAATGACCTCCAGGTGTGTATGTGCCCATGGTCCCTAGGATCACCCTTCGGGTTGTGTGCGTGCCTCTCGATCCTGTGAGACCATGTAAGCACCTTGTAGGTGTTTGTGTGCATTCCGGCAGAGTCCCTCCAGGTATGTGCCTGCATCTGTAGTCTCTGCCAATGCATGTGCTTGAATATCTCCATATGTTTACTCGAGGTGTATGTAGCACAGTCCCTCCCTTCTGAAGTCAGGTGTGTACATGAATACACGTGTGTCTTTGAGTCTAGTCCTAGATGCTTTTCCCTCTAGGAACAAATCCTTTTCTTTCTTCCCTTCCTTCCTTTTTTTTTTTTTTTGAGAGGGAGTCTCCCTCTGTTGCCCAGGCTGGAATGCAATGGCGCCCTCTCGGCTCACTGCAACCTCTGCCTACCGGGTTCAAGTGATTCTCCTGCCTCAGCCTTCTGAGTAGCTGGGATTACGGGTCCCTGCCACCACACCCGGCTAATTTTTGTATTTTTAGTAGAGAGGGGTTTTTGCCATGTTGGCCAGGCTGGTCTCGAACTCCTGACCTCAGGTGATCCGCCTGCCTCAGCAGCCTCACAAGGTGCTGGGATTATGGGCGTGAGCCACCATGTCCAGCTGTCTTTTTTTTTGTGTGTGTGATGGAGTTTCGCTCTTGTTGCCCAGGCTGGAATGCAGTGGCATGATCTTGGCTCACTGCAACCTCCGCCTCCTGGGTTCAAGCAATTCTTCTGCCTCGGACTCTAGAGTAGCTAGGATTAGAGGTGTGTGACACCACACCTGGCTAATTTTTGTATTTTAGTGGAGATGGGTTTTCACTGTGTTGGCCAGGTTGGTCTCAAACTTCTGAACTTGTGACCCACCTGCCCTCAGCCTCTCAAAGTGCTGGGATTACAGGCGTCAGCCTCCGCACTGGGCCACATCCTTCAATTTTTTATCTTCGCATCCAGCCCCCAGCTTCTAGGATTCTTCCCTGTTCTCCCCACACAGGCTAGAGGGGACACGGTTCAAGGTGGCACAGGCAGTTAAGGGGTGTCAGAATTCACTCCTTCATTCCCGCTCTGTATCTCCCTACCTCAGCCCCACTAGTGCCTTCCATGGCTGAAGGGAAGCCGGAAGAGATAGAGAGTAAAATCTATTATTGCCTTTCAGGAAGAAATTTGCCTTTGGAATGGTTCTCACGGGTGATAGAGACAGGCAGAGAAGCTCCATCACTCAGTTACAAGTGACCATGATGGCAAGAAGGGTGGGGCCAGCTAGGAACGAATGGGTAAGGGCATTCCAGGGCAGAAGGCCGTTGCCTGAGAAATTCAGTACAACCTGGAACCTGATATTTGGTACTTATGCTGTGCCCAGCAGTGTAGTTAGATTTGGAAATTCTGAGCGGAAGATATTCAAGTTTCTGTCCTTAGGGAGTTCAAAAAGCCCATCAGGACACCGGGAGCAGAGTGATGAAGCCTAGATGGGCAGATGAAAGTCAGGGACAGACCTCAGATTCCAGGGCCAGTTTCCATTGTAGATGCTGTGGGATGAGGCTGGGGATAGAATATTCATTCTTTATCCCTAAGGCAAAATCCTGACACACAAGCAGATGCACCTACACAAACAGTTCTGGAATATACACAGAGGTGCTCTCCATCTGAGGAGGCTGTCCTCAGGAAAACTTCCTGCAGAGTGTTTCACTAAGATCTGGGAGGAAAGCATGAAATTTGGTTTAATGAAGGTTCCCGGGACTTGAGAATTAAGGTAATGCAGCAGACTCATTTTCTGATGAGGAATAGCAGTTGTAGAGAAGCATGACTGCAGATCACATGACTAGAAGTGACATGTCAAGACTGGATTCCACTATCAGTCAGGGTTCTCTGAAGAATCAGCCCCCGCGGCCAGCAGACGCACCCATGTCCTTCCATTGTCCTCCATCCACCCTGGCTCACTTTTCTCCAACACTTCCCCTCCTAAACTTCCCTATGGGAATGAGACCTGTTCAAAAGGCCCCCCACCTGCTAGACCCAGATCTAAAAGAGGGTCTCCTCTGAGGGTGATGACAGGTAGGACAGACAGTCAGAAAACATAATTTGAAGTATTTTTGTTTTTTATATACAGAATACAGGAAAGTTTCTGTAAAGTCTAAAACATTACAATTACTATGTACATTGGTACTGGTTGTGGGGGTGGGAGGAGAGGAGGGAACCAGGGGCAGGAAGAAGAGGAGAGAAGTGGCGAGAGAACAAAAAAAGGAGACAAAACAGGTTTACGACAAAAACATTTTTGCTACAATAGACAATTTGAGAAAACGCTCTACCACATGTAGTACTGTACACGGTTTTTAAAAACATTGAAAAAATGTCATCACTAGATGTATTTACACAAAATCCAAATACACTTTTCCTTATTTGAAATAAAACAGATGGACAGCCAGAAAAAGAATTCATTTCTCATTTGTCCATAATACACAGTAGCTACCTGTAGTGCAACTGCTGCAGAAAGGGAAAATAACGTGGAGGGTGGGAACCATGGAAGGAAGGTGGGTAGCGATCTTTATATTAAATAAAACAATGATATTGTATAGATTTTGCTGTATGAAAACTGTATTTTTTCTTTTAATATAAAACTATTGTCACTGCCACAAAATAGAACAAGTTTCTGATTATTTTACAACGGCGGGCGAGGGGGAGGGAGTAGTAGGTGGGTGGGGAAGGGTTTTGTGTTGGAGGAAGTGTCCAGACCATGGGTCTTTCCCTCCCTGCCCACGCTGTTCCTCAGCTCGGGTTTGCCGCTTTCCCATGAAATGTTGAGTACAAATATATGTGCAAATGCCCCCTAGAACTTGAGGAAAGAAAAAGGATTTTTAAAAAACAGTCAAAAGGTTTTCTTCATTTCATGCAAAGATTGTAGTTGAAGCGTTTCTGGTAGAGTATAGAAAACACCCGGGCTTGGTTTGTGTACATTTTTGCATTGCAGGAGTCTTGAGTGGGTGTACAGGCCAGTAGCGGGGTAGCTGCCAGTCCTAGGGAACGGAGTTGGAGCGCAGCACAGGGCCCTGGTGGGGCTTGAGAGAGAGCTTCTCGGCCAAGACCCCATCCTGCAGCAGGCTGGCATCGCCTTTGGGCTGTTTGGTCGCAAACTCAGTGATGCTGAAGACAAACTGCAGGCAGCCCAGCTTGATGTAGCTGCCATGGTGCAGTAAGGCCGTGCCCTCCCAGCCGGCCCCACTGCCCCCAATCAAGCTTGAGCTGCTGGCTTTGCAATTGCAGGGTCTCCGCTGCGGCCCTTGGGCCTGGGAACTCATCATGGCTGCCTCCTCACTTGGCTCTTCATCCTGTTTCTGGTGCCGGCGGCGCCCTGGGAAAAAGGGGGATGGTCACAGAAGAGGAACAGTGAGCAGCCAACCCATGTGGGCTGTTTGCCAAGGTTGGGCTCCTGCATCTCCCCATTCCAACTGCTGCATGACTACGGATGAAGGATGCTCAGAAAGGGTTGGTGGAGTCTGAAGTCCCCACAGGTGTGTACACACATGGGGGTACTCAGCACTTGCTTCTCTGTGGCCTGCCCTGGGCCCATGAGGAAGTAGAGCTTGGCCAATAGGACTAGGAAGGCAAGAGACAGACCATGGGCAGCAAGTCAGAACCACCCTGACTGCGGCCTCGGCTTTGTGGCCACAGACCTCTGCTCCAACTTACTGATGACACTCTGCACTTTGGCAACAATACTGCTTGGGGGTGTTGGCGGGGTCTTCTCCGAGAAGTCACATGAATACAGCACATTGTCCACCGTTGTCCCATGCTCACTGTAGTTTAACAGCTCATAATGTTTGGTATTCTGAGGAGGAGGAGGGGAGATAAGATGTGTGGTCGGCTGTGTGGGGCCTGGGGCTAGGGGGAGAGGACATATGGAGAAGGCCGTGCTGCTCTACCTAGGGAGCCCTTACTTGCCTCCCCAGTCATGGCCCCTGTCCTTTCAGAAGGGGGCTGCAGACACCTCCTCAGGGAAGCCTTCCTTCCGGTGTCCCACACCCCCTACTCTCCCAATCCTCCTTCACTCTGCCTTCTCAGCACCGCTCCTCTTGGTGTGATACTCACTGGCCCGTGATGATAATGAAATTCACAGGGACACATCCACAGGGCTTGGCTTCCTTCTACGCTGGTCCCCTCCCCTGCTTTAGGGTAGGCTCCCTCTGCTGTGCCTGTGACTAACCTCAGGAAAAATGGTAGCCCTGCTCCTGTGAAGCAGGTACCCCTGGTAGGACGCTGTTTCACATCAAGACTGTCCTCCTCCAGGAATGACAGGGAGGGAAGAAAAGGAGAGGACTCCCAATCCCTCTTCCCTCCCCTCAGGGCACTGAACAAAAAGCTACTGCATGGGAGAGGCCTTAGGTTGGGAAAGTTCCCTCCCACCGCATCTCCAGCCCTCACCTCATCGTAGAATATGCAGGCATGTTTCCCGGACACGTAGTTACAGTGACCATAGTTTGTAAGGCACACATCCATGTCAGCTCCTGCAAGACGGCAGGAGTAGAGGAAAAGGAAGGCAGAGAACAGATTGTAAGGTGCATGTGTCGGGGAGGTGAGACAGGGAGGGAGTTAGCTTCTGGGTTGGCACTAGCAGAGACTTCAAGGGTGAGTAGCTCAGGGCCCTCCCCTTTTATTTTTGAACAAAAACTGATGTCTTTTCCAAGCTCCTGATAAAGAACAGCTGTCCCTGCCAGCTGATCTGCTTTAGAACATGTGGTTGCTACCCAGAAGGGAACAGTGAGCTA